CGGAAGCGTCGGCGCGCCACACAGACCAACCCCACCCTACGAGGGCGGCCAGGTCGCAGCCCACTCGGCAGACGACAGAAACATCGGCCCAACAAAATCGAGCAGCTCAGCCCCATGCCGACCGTCCAGCGGGCACCCGCCAAGCCCGCCCTCCCACCGATCGCGCCCACTCGCGCGGGGAGCGTCGGCGCGCCAGACAGACCAACCCCACCTCCTAAGAGGGCGGCCAGGCCCGAAGCCAAAGCAGCCACGTCTACCATCCACGGAAGGGCCAGGAGTACTCAAGAATAGTCAAAAAAATAGTCTGGGGATTATTTGTTGAATATTTTTGACAATTTTGGAGCATTTTCTGGTTATTTTCTTCGTCGAGAATCCACCTGTAGGGGGACAGGCCCGACCTAAGGCCAGGCACCCTGCCTTTTGAGGAACCCACAGGCATGTGAGCCAGGGCCCCATGTGTCCGACATCCAGCACGGCGCAATCGGCAGGCTAGGCAACGCCATCAGCAGCATGCCCTATGACCCGAGCACGCCGCACTGCAAGATACACGCCCACAAGTTCATCAAGGGTTGCATCGAGAACATCGACAGCCCAGAGGCGCTCTACGACTGGGGGGCGGACCGGCGCTGCATCGACCAAGTGGGCCACGACCGGGTCTTGCACTCTCTTCGCGACTCCATGAGCAAAGGCTCCGGAGAGCCATCAAGTCGCCGCGTCGCCCATTTCGACAATGACAACAGGCAGGCGGTGCTAGTGCGCTTCATCATCCATCGGCCGCGGAGCAGTTCGGCATGCCCAGTAGTTGATGACCGCGCTGACGCACCCGCGCAACATCAGGCGCGCCGCGAACGCGACGAGATATACAGCTGCATCAAATTTGCACTACGGCACAATCCCTTGGCATCGCTCGGACGTGTGCATGTTTCCTTCGGCGAGGACCATCGAGGAGCATCCTTGATCATTTGGCGAAAAAACCACGCACGAAACCGAAAAAAAACACAGGGAATGGACGTCCGAGCGACGGCCAGATCCGACAGGAACACCTGCGCCTTTTGCACCACTTCTGCCCTCCAGGAGGGCATCGCCAAGGGCATGGTCTCTCCTGGATGGACCTGGTGCTCCAGCAGAGCGGCGACGCCCGCCGAGCCCCCTCCAGGGGAATGGACCGACCAGGAGCCGGGCCGCCGTGGTCCACCCGCGGGCCCCCTGCCGGGCGCCAGCCACCGAGGCCCGCGAGCCGAGGCGAGACGGCCACCGACGCCCGCGAGCCGACAGCGGTGACCTCGTGGCGCGAAGACTCGCCCTCACGGCCGACAGCGGGCCCTTCCTCGGCGTCACGCCAGCATACTTATGCTCCAGGTGCGTCGCCGCCCCCCAGAGACGCGCGCGCGCGCCGAGAAATCCTACGGTACATGCGTCGTGGCGGGCGCTTTCTGGCCACGCCGCTCGGGAAACGATTCGCTGCAAGATGGGCACAGTATATTTCGGGTCGGTCGCGCACCTCCAAGGAGGACACGTAGTGGCTGCATGAATGAGGCATGAGGAGGAGGAGGAGGAGGAGGGGGAGGAGGAGGAGGAGGAGGAGGAGGAGGAGGAGGAGGAGCAGGAGGAGGAGGAGGAGGAGGAGGAAGAGGAGGAGGAGGAGGGGGAGGAGAAGGAGGAGGAGGAGGAGAAGGAGGAGGAGGAGAAGGGGGAGGGTATCAGTCTGTCCGTGTGCGCCCCACCTTCCGCCAGAAAATGCGGCGGTGTCTGCTCGCTCAGCACGCGCCGCCGACGTCCCCCGCCGGAGGGCGCGCGCCCTCCCCGACCGCCAACAACGGACGTCCTCATCGCTGGCCCCGACGCGCACATCAGCGAGGCCGACCTGCATGGGACGCACAGGGACATACTGATACTAGATGTCCTCCTCGGAGGCGCGCGTCCGACCCGAACATGTAGCATGCCCATCTTGTAGTACATCGTCGAGCGGCGTGGCCAGAAAGCGCCCGCCACGACGCGTGTACTATAGGAGTTCTCGGTGCACGCGTCGCCCCTGGGGGGGCGACGCACATATAGTTGAAGTATGTTGGCGTGACGCCGACTACATGATACGAGATGCCCAGTGTTGCAGTCGGACGCCAAAGCCATTATGGACCAGAGCGAGTACGAGCACGACCCCTGCTATGAAACCATGGACTACATCAAGACGGGCGCTGACCAGATGGCCAGCACGGCCAGCCGCCGCACCAAACCTCAGCCCACGGGCACCGCACCCGACGCGGACAACCCCACGGCGACCACGCCGACAGCGTGATCGGCGACGCCCACCCCACTGGCCAGCCAAAGCTCACCACCACCTTTCTTCTCCTGACTTTCCGTGGCTAAGAGGCGAACGGTGCCCTCATGCCGAGCTGGGACCTGCGTCACACAGAGGCCCGTCAGTGCGTCAATACTTCTCCTATACCGGTCTTGCGACTAGCGAGGGCAGATCCTATGCATTTTTGCCCAGACAGCGCGACGCGCCACCAGCTGTCCCACCACTGGTTCCCACCTTCTGCATTATCCTTTGCCCAAGCCGCCGCGCTCATTGTCACGACAGCAGCAGCAGCTGGGATGTGATTCCCTACGGCGCAGCACGCAACTCATTCCACTCCCAGACGACGGCAGCACCAGCACACGGCGGCAGCGGGAACTTCAAGGGGCCCGATGATAGTGGGCTCACGGCTGTGGCTTCGTTCGAAGACCGCAGTTTTGGACCTCGATCCTCGCCCGGGGGCCCGGCACCTTGCTACCATCTCGCCTCTTTGTTTGGCACCCCCTCCCCAGGGCCTCCATGAGGCTTCCAGACGGCTCAAGAGGCCTCCAAGACAGCCTAAGATATTCCCGAGACCGCCTAAGAGGACCAAAACCCACAAGGGCACCAAGAGCGCTCAGGATGGCCTCAGCACGGTTCAAGAGGTCCCCAGGACACCCCAGGAGAGCCCCCAGCGCGCCCCAATGAGGCCTCGATGGGGTCAAGCACATTGATGTTGTTGAGATGTTCGAAGAATGGATTGTTGCGTTGTCGCTCTTCCTGGCTTCCGACCGCCCAAGACGGCTCTGCACGGCCCAAGACGGCACAAAATGGGCCCAAGACGGTCTCGGCACGGCCCTAAGAGGGCCCGAAGACAGCCCAAGAGGCACCCAAACCAGCCCCAAAATGGCCCCGAGAGATTTCCAAAATGACCATGCAAACCCCCAAGAGGGTTCCCAAACGGCACCCCAAAGACGCAAAAGACCGCATCTCCAGCATGCGTCCGTCCCAGATGCTCAAAGAATGCCGAAGGACGGCTGGAGGTGGCTCGAAAGCTCTTCGGCAAAGAAGGCAGAGTCATCGAATGTGTGGCCCTGCCGGTGCGACCAGACAGGGTTCCTGGCCTTCATTGCCCCGCGGTGTGGCCCCAGATGCGTGGCCAGAAAGGGAGGGAGGGAGGGGGGCGGCTTTCGATCCACCTTGGCCCTCCTTATTTCCAGCTCCTCCGCTTGGCCCCCGGGCGGATCAAGAGAACGCAAGAAGCGTGAAAGCGGCCTCCAAGCCTCCCTCCAGGCTGCTGCTGCTGCTGCTGCTGCTGCTGCTGCTGCTCTTCCTCGTCCTCTCACGCGGCGAGCGCCGAAACGGCGAAGGATTAGCGTGCAGACATCCTCACAAACACACATACATGTATACATGCGTGCATGCATGCGTACATACACGCATACATAAATGCAGTTGTATGCATGCGTACATACATACGTATGCGTGCATGTATACAAGCATACATACATGCAACCAAACATGCTCACATATACACATACACACATGCATGCACGCACATATATATATATATACACATAATTCTATACAGACATGCAAGCACACATACATATGCGTCTACAGACATGCATGCATGCAGGCTCACATGCATTCACACATGCATGCGTACATACACATGCACACGCACGCAAATGCAGACATGCATAGACACATTCATACATACTTAAATCAATCACACATGTCTGCATACATACATGAATGCAATCATACGTGCATACATACATACCTGCCTACGTATATGCCTACCGACCAACCTACAACCTACCTGCCTATCGACCTTCATACGTACGTACGCATGCACATATTCACATTTGTATACACCCATATTGACAGATGTGCGTACGTACACCTATATATATATATATATACACATCTCTACACATACATACACACACATATATATATATATATACACTCTATATGTATATGTATCATGCGATGCCGCCCCGCTTCCAGGAGAAAGAAAGGGGTGGAGGGGGGAGGCAGACGGGAGAGGGGAGGACAGACTGTAAGATCGACCCCATTCCTCTGAAGCCTCCTTTGGGCCCCTCAGGAGGTTCCAGAAAACACCCCAGGACAACCAAAGTGTGCCCAAAGTGTATCAAGAGGGCTCGCATATGATTCCAGAAGAGCTCAAGAGGGCTCCCAGATGATTCCAGGCGAGCCCAAGCGGGACCAAGCGTTTACACCGACGACTACGAGGCGGCCCCGAAAGGCCACAAGGGGGCCTCAAGAGAGCCCCCAGTCGGCCACACATTTAAAAAAGAGTTTGATTTATTGGATGATGTTGGACTATCGTCTATTCGGCATCCCCTTCAACCATCTTCCAGACACTGGTTGAGGTTAGCCGCCCCCCCCCCCCTACACCGAAAATAGCAAGCAAGCTCTTTTGGTGGAAGGCCCCACCCACCTCCTCCCCAGCCCCTTTTCCACCTCGCCATCCACCTCCTCCTCGCCCTTCCTCTTCGCCCGTCTTCTTGCCTCCTCCTCTTCCTCCTCTTCCTCCTCTTCCTCTTCCTCCTCCCCATTCTCCTACCCCCCCTCCTCCTCCTCCTCCTCCTCCTCCTCCTCCTCCTCCTCCTCCTCCTCCTCCTCCTCCTCCTCCTCCTCCTCCTCCTCCTCCTCCTCCTCCTCCTCCTCCCTCTCAGTGTTCCTCCTCCTCCTCCTCCTCCTCCTCCTCCTCCTCCTCCTTTTCTCGCCCTCTGCCACCACCGCCGACGACAACAACCGCCGACGCCGGCTCGAAAAGTCCGCGGGGCCGCGCTGGCCGCGGCAGCCCCCGCCCCCGGTGCCCGGAAATGGGGCTCGATGGCGCCTCACCGCGCAAGAGGGAGAGGGTAGGAGGAAGAGGGGTAGGAAGAAGAGGAGGAGGAGGGATGATGATGATGATGTTGATGATGATGATGATGATGATGATGATGATGATGATGATGATGATGATGATGATGATGATGATGATGACTGTGATGATGATGATGATGATGATGATGATGATGATGATGATGATGACGATAATGTTGATGATGGTGATGATGACGGTGATGTTGATGGTGATGGTGATGGTGATGATGATGATGATGGTGATGGTGATGGTGATGGTGATGGTGATGGTGATGGTGATGGTGATGGTGACCGTGATGGTGATGTTGATGCTGATGATGACCGTGATGGTGATGATGATGCTGATGATGATGATGATGATGATGATGATGGTGATGGTGATGGTGATGGTGATCGTGATGGTGATGGTGATGGTGGTGATGATGATGGTGGTGGTGATGATTTTGATGATGATGACGATGATGATGATGATGATGATGATGATGATGATGATGATGATGATGATGATGATGATGATGATGATGATGATGATGGTGGTGGTGGTGGTGGTGGTGGTGGTGATGATAACGATGACGCTGACGATGCCGACGCCGCCGACGACGGCGACGACGACGTCGACGGCGTCGAGGAGGTGGATGAGGAGGGGGGAGGGGGAGGGGGAGGGGGAGAGGGAGAGGGGCGGAGAGGGGGATGAGAGGGACCAGGCGGAGGCGGGAGATGAGGATTATAGTAGCGATAAGTAGGAGCAAACGGATCGGGAGGAGAAGGAGGAGGAGGAGGAGGAAGAGGATAACGACGACGACAAGTTGAATACGGGAAGGGATTGGGAGGGGAAGGTGTGATGTTAGACCAGCGAGGATCGATGTTTACACTTTGCGTTCAGATAATAATTTGGGTCTCGGGGGGCTGGGTGCTCCTCAAAATTTGTTTCCATGCTTGCCAGCGTAGGCCCGACTAAGAAACGTATTGTGTTCCGGATGTGTAGGTAGCGTGCACGCTGCAAGCCTTGTGGGGCAAGCTACTGTGGTGCAGGGTACGTGGTGCAGAACTACGTGGCGCACGCTCTGGGGAGCAGGGTGTGTGGTGCAGGCCGTGTGGTGTGAGGCGTGTGGGGCCAGCTGTGGTGCGCGAGCTGCGTGGTGGACGTTCTGCTGTGCAGGCTCTGTGGTGCACGGCGTGTGGCGTAGGCCGCACGGTGGAGGCTCTGCGGCGCCGCCTACGGGGCGCGGCGCTTGTGGGCCGGGCACTTGGCGAAACCCCGACTCGTCCAGCCAGCGCAGCGAGGCGCCCACGAGGCGCTCACTGGCGGGCACCCGTCGGGCAGCCAGGAGCCGCCCCTGGGACCTTCAGGAGCGACTCAGGCCGTCACCACCCACCAAACCACCCCAACCCATCCCGAAGGCTTCCATTTGCCCTCCATTTCCAGTGGGGGGGCGGGGTCGGGGAACAGCGAGAAGACACATCTGGAGCCCGGTCCCCCCCCCCCCAAACCCGAACTTCGGGTCTTCGGGTTGGGTTGGGGTGGTCTGGTGGGTAGTCAGGCTGGCACGCCGGGTCGCGGGGGGAAGCCCCGGCGGGCTCCGGGACCTGCGCTTCAGGACCGCGTTGTCCCTGGCGCCGCGCCACGGCCCGCTGCGCTGGGCGCGGAGGTGGCCGCGCTTCGCGCCCCGCCGTCTCTGCCGCAGAGCGGCCCTTCTCTACTGGGCGGCGCGGGGGAGAGGGAAAAGATGACCGCGGGGCGCGCGCGGCTCGGAGCAGGGCGCTCACGTCCGGGCACGAAGCGGGCCCGTGGCGAACCCCGACATCCAGTCAAGCAGCTGAGAGGTACGGCTGCCCAAGCGCAGGCGTTCCCTGGGGAAAGATCGCCCCAACTTCGATCGGGGCGGACTTTTCAGAGGAAGAGGAGGGGAAGGATGTGCAGGATGAAGAGGAGGAGGAGGAAAGGAGGAGGAGGAGGAGGAGGAGGACGAGGATGAGGACGAGGATGAGGACGAGGACGAGGAGGAGGGAGGCGGGAGAAGATGAGGAGGATGAGGAGGAGGACCAAGGCGAGTTGGAGGAGGAGGAGGAGGAGGAGGAGGAGGAGGAGGAGGAGGAGAGGAAGGAAGAGTTGAAGCGAAGAGGTGCAGGAGGAGGAGGAAGGAAGGGGGAGGATCAGAAATTGTCGAATCTTACCCGCCTGCACGCAAGCACACGCAGCCCTCCCTCTGTTTTTGCGCTGGCCCACGCCGAGTGAACCTTCTCCTCCAACGTCTCCTCCTCCTCCTCATCATCCTCCTTGTCATCACCATCAACAACAACGTCATCATCATCAGCATCATCATCATCAGCAGCATCATCAGCAGCATCAGCATCCCCATCATCATCCTCATCCTCATCCTCCTGATCCTTCTCCACCTCATCATCATCATCATCATCATCATCATCATCATCATCATCATCATCATCATTATCAGCATCACCATCGTCATCATACTCCTCATTATCCTCATCATCGCCTTCATTCTTATCATCCTAAGTATGATTATCATCACCATCACCATCACAATCATCATAGTCATCATCATTATCAGCAGCATCAACATCATAACCATCATCATCATCGCCGTCATCAGAATCACCATCATAATCATTGTCATCATCATCAGCATCATCATCAGCATCAGCATTACTGCCACCATCAGCATTACCATCATCATCAGCATCAGCATCATCATCAACATCATCAACATCACCATCATCATCATCATCATCATCATCATCATCATCATCATAATCACAATCGTTATCATCGTCGTCACCATCACCATCATCATCACCATCATCAGTATCATCATCATCATCATGATCATCATCATCATCAGCATCATCATCATCATCATCATCATCATCATCAGCATCAGCATCAGCATCAGCATCAGCATCAGCATCAGCATCAGCATCGTCATCATTACCATCATCCTTCTGGCGACGCCGACGACGACGATGCCGCCGACGACGATGACAGCGGCGGCGACGATTGCAGCGCCCGAGGCGCGGGTGGCAAGGCGTCCGTGCGGGGCGCGAGCCGCAAGGCGTCGGTCGACGCCAGCGACGTGGAGGTTCTTCGTCGTCGTCGTCGTCGTCGTCGTCGTCGTCGTCGTCGTCGTCGTCGTCGTCGTAGTCGGCAGCGGTGGCGGCGGCGGCGGCGAAGCAGGGGGAGAGAGGGGGAGGAGGAGAGGGAAGGAAGGATGGGATGGGGGGGGGGGGGGGAAGGCGCCTCGACCCGTGCCCGCTGGACCTTCTTCTCGGCCTCCGTTGCCTCCTGTCTTAGGGGAACAACAAGTGGGCATAAACCTAAAAAAAAACTCGGAGGTCCGCGCGGAGTTCTCGGATCGGCGCTGGACCCCCCTCCCTGGCGCGCTCCGCGCGCCAGGGGCGGCGCCGGAGGCGCCGCCAGGGGGGGCCCCAGGCGCCGATCCGAGACATCCGCGCGGACCCCTCCGAGTTTTTTTTTTAGGTCTGCGCCGCTTCTTGCTCCCCTGCTCCTCTGCGGTCGCGGCCCGCCTGGATACCGGAGGAGGAGGAGGAGGAGGAGGAGGAGGAGGAGGAGGAGGAGGAGGAGGAGGAGGAGGGGGAGGGGGAGGGGCAGAGGACCCTCTGGACGCGGCCCTCGGGGCGAGGGCCGCGTCGCCCGGCTGCGGCGAGGATGCGTCGCCCGGCTGCGGCGCGGCGCCGTGGGCGCGCGGGCCTTCCCGAGGGGCGCGGCGGCCTCGCGCTCGAGGGCGGCGCGCGCGGGCACGGCGGCGGCCTCCTGCGGCCCGGGCGGGCCAGCTGCGGAGGGGCCGCGGGGTGCGGTGGCCGCGCGCGCCTCGTCGGGCCGCACGCGCGCGGTCCCCGCTGCGGCTGACGACGACGATGATGATGATGGTGATGCTGATGCTGATGATGGTGATGATGATGATGATGATGGTGATGATGATGATGCTGATGATGATGATGATGATGCTGCTGCTGATGCTGATGATGGTGATGATGATGATGGTGATGCTGATGCTGATGATGGTGATGATGATGGTGATGATGATGATGATGATGATGATGATGATGATGATGGTGATGATGATTATGTTGATGATGTTGGTGATGATGCTGATGGTGATGATGATGATGATTATGATGATGCTGCTGATGATGATGACGATGATGATGATGATGATGGTGATGCTGATGCTGATGTTGATGATGTTGATGATGATGAGGATGTTGGTATGATGCTGCCCCCCCGCGGCCCCCGAGAGCAGCACACCAAAGGTCACTCCTGCCCCCTTGCGTGTAGGCGACCGACTTGTCCGTTCGTCCGTCCGTGTTCTGTTGTCTCGGCCCTCTGACTCTCTGAGCCGTGGCGCCTCGAGCTTCTGAGCTCTGGGACGCGCCCCCCTCCGCCTCGCTTCCTGTTCTTCGGTGCCCACTTAGCTTGCCGTGGGCTCCCGACGCTTGCCTCGAACGCAACGGGCCCTCTCCGACGCCGCCAAGCAACAAACATGCGCGACTGACGGGCGGGCTGGGGAGTTGCACGGCGACCCCGTGCTCGAGCGGCCGCTTTGCTCGGCAGGGGGGCCGCGGGACGGTCAGCGCAGCAGGTGGCAGGTGCCAGCGATTGGGGCCGTTGCTTCCTGAGCGGAGGGGGCCGTCCTCCTCACGGTGGGGCCGTCCTCTTCCTCCTCTTCCTCCTCCTTTCCCTCCTCCTCCTCCTCCTCCTCCTCCTCCTCCTCCTCATCATCATCATCATCGTCGCCATAATCATCACCACCAACTCCATCACCATCTCGATCACCAGCATTATCATCATCAGCAGCATCATCATCAACAACAACATCATCATTGTCAGCATCGTCGTAAGCATCCGCGTCACTATCATCAGAATCGTCGCCGTCAGCTCCACGATCACCATACCACCATCAATAGCATGATCATGTTGATGATGGTGCGCCTCATCATTATCATCATCATCATCATCACCATCATCAGCAGCAGCATCATCAGCAGCAGCATCAGCATAATCATCACCATCAGCATCAACATCGTCGTCGTCATGGTCATCATCAGCGGCAGCATCAGTTACCACCATCGCCATCATCGTCAAATTTTAGCATCATCATCATGGCCAGCATCATCGTCGCCATCATCGTCGTCGTCGCCATCGCCACGATCATCAGAATAACCGACACCACCATCATCATTGTCATCAGCATCAGCATCAGCATCAGCATCATCATCATCATCATCATCATCGTCGTCGTCGTCGTCGTCATCATCATCATCATCATCATCATCATCGAGTCATCGGCACTATAGTCAGAATCATCCTCATCATCACCGTCACCATCACCACTCAGCGCATCTTCATCACCCCTTCCACCGCCAGCATCACCGTAATCACCACCATCAGCATCATCATTAGCATCCTCCTCCTCCTCCTCCTCCTCCTCCTCATCATCATCATCATCATCATCATCATCATCATCATCATCATCTTCACCTTCATCGTCTTCAGCATCACCGTCGTCACCGTCCCCTCTCTGCCCCCGCTCCTCCTGCTGCTCGCCCGCCCCGCTCCCGTCGCCCGGCGCCGCTCCCGCTCCCGCTCCTCTGTCCGCTCCCCGTCACTCCCCGTCGGGGCTTTGGCGATCCTTGCCTCTCGCCGCCGCCGCCGCCAACCTCGTTGCCACCTCCGCTGGCGACGGCGACGACGGCGGCGTCATCCTCGCCGCCGTCGTCGCCGTACTCGCCGGCGACGGCAGCGACGACGACGTCGGTGTCGTTGACGACGGCGACGACGACGACGACGACGACGACGACGACGACGACGACGACGACGACGACGACGACGACGACGACGACGACGACGACGACGACGACGACGACGACGCCGACGACGCCGACGGCCACGGTGACGGCGGGGGCCGCGGCGATGCCCCGGGGGCCGCCCGAGGGGCTGCTGTCGGACGCCGTGCCGGAGCCGCTCGACGAGGGCCGGTGGCCAGGGCTGCGCGACCAGGCGGGGCGGGGGGCAGGTCAGCGGCCCTCCTCCTCCTCCTCCTCCTCCTCCTCCTCCTCCTCCTTCTCCTTCTCCTTCTCCTCCTCCTCCTTCTCCTTCTCCTCCTCCTCCTCCTCCTCCTCCCTCCTCCTCCCTCCCTCCTCCTCCTCCTCCTCCCCCCTCCTCCTCCCCCCTCCTCCTCCTCCTCCCTCCCCCCTTCCTCCTCCTCCTCCTCCTCCTCCTCCTCCTCCTCCTCCTCCTCCTCCTCCTCCTCATCATCATCATCATCATCATCATCATCATCATCATCATCATCATCATCCTGCTCCTCCTCCTCCTCCCGCACGGGGGCTTTCGGCAGGCCTCGGGGTGGATGTCGCAGGTTTTCGAGGGTGCTCGCGGGCCTTTCGGAGGTCTTGACCCAGTCATGCGACGTCCGGATTTTTCTTCAGCACGGCGTCCCCGGAAGTCTTGACCCTTTCCACAGGACCGGTTTATCATCCCGGGTCGTGTTGGACGGTCCTGCGGCCCAGCGAGGGCCTCCAGAGGCCGAAAACGGTGAGAAACATCCGCCCTGCATTTTGTTTACGGCGCGATCACGTCTGGGAGCGGAGGTCCCAACGGAGGTTTTCGGGGCCCGGGATGGTTCCCATCAGTTGCGCCCCGTCATTCAGCCGCGCGGTGAGGGGTGTGGGGGGAGGGCTTCTTAGGAGCACCCCTGCTATTCCTAGAAGGCGCGGGCCTTGTCTGCAGATGGAAGGCCGGGCGCCTCCTTAGAAGCAGCCTCCTTCTAAGAAACCTTTCCCCCCCTTGCGCGCCGCCGAGGCGGTTTTCGGGGCCCGGGATGGTTCCCATCAGCTGCGACCCGTCACGGGCGTTCCCCAGACACCCATGACGTCGGACGCCTCGGAGGGACCAGCTGCCTCCCTAGGGGGCCACATGCGAACCCTACCCCAACCCCCACGATTTCTGAGGGGGGGGGTTCACTTCGTGCGGGAGCTCCCGAGCGAAGTGAGCCCCACCCTCCCCCTCAGAAACCGTGGGGGGTTGGGGTTGGGGTAGGGTGCGCGAGGAAGAGAGATGGCGAGGAAGAGAGGCGAGGAAGAGAGAGAGAGAGAGATGGCGAGGTGGCGAGGAAGAGCGGCGAGGAAGAGAGAGAGAGAGAGAGATGGCAAGGAAGAGAGAGAGAAAGAGAGAGAGAGAGAAGAGGCGAGGGAGAGGGACCCTCCACCCTGCGAGACGGCGAGGAGGAGAGAGAGAGAGAGAGAGACCCCACCTGCGAAACTCAGCCGCGACAGGCCTCTCCCCACGGCCGTCGGAGGTTCCCACCTCGAACGCATCGAGGAGAGAAACACCGTCGGGCCCTGGCACTGTGACCACGGTCTGGGTGCCAGGCTCGCTCCAACGCCCTCCTCCTCCTCCTCCTCCTCCTCCTCCTCCTCCTCCTCCTCCTCCGTCCTCTTTCCTCCTCCGTCCTCCTCCTCCTCCTCCTCCTCCTCCTCCTCCTTCCTCCTCCCTTCCTCCTTCCTCCTCCGTTCTCCTCCTCCTCCTCCTCCTCCTCCTCCTCCTCCTCCTCCTCCGTCCTCCGCCGTCCTCCTCCTCCTCCTCCGTCCTCCTCATCCTCCGTCCTCCTTCCTCCTCCTCCGTCCTCCTTCCTCCTCCGTCCTCCTCCTCCTCCTCCTCCTCCTCTGTCCTCCTTCCTCCTCCGTCCTCCTCCTCCTCCTCCTCCTCCTCCTCCTCCTCCTCGTCCCAAGGAGGACCTCGGTCGGCGGCCGAGGGAGCTCCAAGCAGTGGTTCAGCGGCGGCAGAGCGCGCCGCAGCACAGCTGGGCAACACGGCGCGACCGGTCGGGCCCTGGCTCGCTCCAACGCCCTGCGGGGGTGCTTTGGCGTCGCCCCGAGACTCCGGAGGCCCGAGCGGTCGCCCAGCAGCAGGCGGAGGAGGGCCAGCCGGGTCGCCGCGGCGGCCCTCGCAGGCGTCGGCTGACCCCTTGTCGAGCTTCTCGCTGCCACGGCTGCAACCCCAGACACGCGTCGCGTCGCAGCAAAAAGCAGGACGGGCGGTTTTTCACTAATTTTCGGCCCGGGGGGGCCCTCGCCAGGCCCCGGGACCGTCCAAAAACGACTCAGGATGAAAAGTCGGCCCTGGGGAAAGGGTCTGGACCTCCGGGGACGCCGTGCTGACAACAAATCAGGACGCCGCATGTCTGGGTCCGGTTTGCGGGGGGCTCTCGGCAGGGGTTTGGGGCCCGATGCTGATGTTCGCGCGCGCGGACTCGCGGTCGTGGCGCACGTCGCCGCAAGACCCCCGCCTCCTGTGGCTGCGAAGAAAGGCGCGACGGATGTTTTTGCTGCGTCGTCCCTCCTCCCTCTTGTCTTCTGCGGCCACCCCAGCGACATGCGACGTCCTGATTTTTGTCAGCACGGCGTCCCCGGAAGTCCAGACCCTTTCCACAGGACCGGTTTTTCATCCTCAGTCGTTTTGTGACGGTCGCGGGGCCCGGCGAGGACCCCCCCCGGGCCGAAAGTAGGGAAAACCGTACGTCCTGATGCTTGTTGCGACGCGATCATGTCTGGGGCTCCTCCTCCCCGCGCCCTCCTCGTGCAGCCGGACGATCAGTTTGTCGCGTGCCCCATGACAGCAAAGTGCTTGCGTTGTTTTGGGTGTCTGGGGGCCCTTACTTAGGGGAACGGAATGTGACATAAACATAAAACTTGGAGTTCCGCGCGGATTTCTCGGATCGGCGCTGGACCCCCCTCCATGGCGCGCGGAGCGCGCCAGTGGCGGCGCCGGAGGCGCCGCCAGGGGGGTCCAGCGCCGATCCGAGACATCCGCGCGGACCTACGAGTTGTTATGTTCAGGTCATTGTCCGTTCCCCCATGATTGGGCCCTGGGACCGTCAAAGAACGAGCAGGGATGAGACGCCGGTCACCAAACCACCCCAACCCAACCCGAAGGCTCAGATTTACCCTCGATTTCCAGTGGGGGGGGGGTCGGGGAACATTGAAAAACACGCGTGGAGCCCATACCCCCCCCCCACCCGAAATTCGGGTCTTCGGGTTGGGTTGGGGTGGTCTGGTAGGTAGTCAGAACAGGGATGAGGCGCCGGTCTCGGGGAAGTCCGAGGGAGAGGTCCGCCCACGTCGCGGGAGGTCGCGGCGTCGGAGAGCAGGGGGAAGGAGGTCGATCTCCCTCCTCCTCCTCTCTCGCTTCCTCCTCGCTCTTCCTGCCTCCAGACGAGGAGGACGGGGCGTACGACGACGAGGACGATGAGCAGGGAGGGAGGGGGGAGGAGGAGGAGGAGGAGAAGGAGGGAACAGGAGCGAGGAGGAGGAGGGAGGAGGAGGAGGAGGAGGAGGAGGACGAGGAGGAGGAGAAGGAGGACGAGGACGAGGAGGAGGGGAGACGGGGTTGGAGTGGGGCGGGGTGGAGGATGAGGATGAGGGAGTGGGAGGAGGAGGAGGAGGAGGAGGAGGAGGAGGAGGAGGAGGAGGAGCAGGAGGAGCAGGAGGAATCGGAGAGCGGTGGAGGAAGAGGAGGAGCAAAAAAAGCTGAGGCATTTGGCGACATGCGAGGAGGAGGTGAAACAGAGAGGCCAGGGGGGAGATGAAAGGTCAGATTAAAAAGCATGGGCGATGATGAGGAAGGAGGAGGAGGATTAGGGAGAAGAGAAGGACGGAGAGAGGGGCAGGACGGGGGGTGGGGAGTGGGAGGGGGGGGTAATGAGGACGAGGACGAGGATGAGGGTTTGGAGAAGGGGATCGAAGAGAGGACGAGCAGGAGGAGTAGGAGGATGACGACGACGAGGACGACGACAAAGAACGAGGAGGGAGGACGTGTACGGTCTGGAAGCCATGGGGAGGTGGTCCACGAACCCTCTCGAAACCCACGAGAGACCTTGCTTAGCCCCTCCACCTCCCCTCATACCTCTCCTCCTTCCCTCCCCTCTCCACACCCTCCTCCCTCTTCTCCCGCTCCCCACCCGGAGGCCTCGAGAAATCCCCGGAGGCTCCTGGAGGCTCAGAGGGGGCAGCGAATGCCCAAGAAGGTGCCCTCGAGCCAGGATCCCGCCAACCCTCGGACCTCGAGCCTCAACCGTCGATCCCCGAGCATCCCTCCCGGAACGTCGATCCCCGCACCTCGAGGCCTCGAGGCCTCGGACCTCGAGATCCTGCCCCTCCCTCCGCCCCTCCTGGAGGGAGCGGGGGGGCACGGCAGCGAGAGCCGATGCGAGGGCCGATGACGGCGACGGCGACGACGGCGACGGCGACGACGGCGACGACCACGCCGACGACGACGGCGGCGACGACGACGGCGACGGCGACGACGCCGACGCCGACGACGAGGCCGCCGCCAGGCCTGCCTCCGCCACCTCGCGGGCGCGCTGCCGGACCAGGCCGTGGTGGGCCTCATCCTGCTGACGTCGGCCTGGTGCTGGTACAAGGGCTCCCTGATCGAAGGCGCCCTCCTCGCGCCCTCCTCCTCCCTCCTTCCTCCCTCCCTCCCCCCCTCCCTCCCTCCTTCTCCCTCCCTGCTCTTCCTCTCTCTCTCTATCTCTCTCTCTCTCTCTCTCTCTCTCTCTCTCCCTTCATCCTCGTCCCTCCTCCCTTTCTCCCTGTGTCCTCTCTCTCTCTCTCTCCCTCTCCCTCCCTGCTCTCCCTCTCTCTCTCTCTCTCTCTCTCCCTTCATCCTCCTCCTTCCTCCCTTCCCGTTGTCTGCTGCTCCGCTGCAGGTGTCGAGCGCAAGGACGTTCCCTCTGGGGGTTTTCGCCAGCCCCTCGGGTGTATCGTGGCTGCAGCCCGCTGGCAACAAAAAACACCCGTCCCCCCTTCCTGCCTCCCGTCCTCAATCCCTCCTTCCTCCTATCTGCCTTCTGCCTTCCCCCTCCTTCCCTCCTCCTCCTCTCTCCTCCCTCCTTCCATCCTCATCCCTGCCTTCCCCGTCCTTCCTTCCCTTCCTCAATCCCTCCTCCCTCCTCCCTGCCTGTCCCCTCCTTCCCTCCTCCGACCTGCTTGGGGGCGAGGCTTCGGGGCTCTCGGCGCGAACGCAGCGGCAGGTAAGCTCAGATGAGCATGCACGCTGCCCCGGGGAGCGGACCCCCTCCCTCTGCGCCTGCCCCCCCCCCCCCCCCCTCCTTCGTCCTCTCCCCGTCCCCCCCCCCCCCTTCCCTGGGCCCGTTTCCGAGGGGGGCCGAACTCAACTCTGAGACCGTACGAGAGGTCGGGGCAACAAAAATGGATTTTGGCCGGCGAGGTGCTCCAGGCGCCCAGTGATCTCTCTCTCTCGCTGTCTGTCTCTCTCTCTCTCTCGCGCTGTTTTTCTCTCTCCCTCTATCTATCTCTGTTTATCTCCCTCTCTCTCTCTCTCTGCCTTTCGTTCTCTCTCTCTCACTCTCTCTCTCTCTCTATCCCTCTCTCTCGTTCTCTCTCTCTCTCTCTCTCTCTTTCTCTCTCTCCCTATCTCTCTCTCTCTCTCTCTCTCTATATATATATATATATATGTATGGACGTAGCACCCCGCAGTCGCGGATAAGAGTGAGGGGGCGGTGGGGACGTCTGCAGTCTGCGAGGCTTTGAAGAAGCCCGCCGCAGGCGCTTAGTTTTTTTCAATTATACGACGAGCCCGCCGCAGGCGTCGATTTTTCGTTAACGCAATGTGGGTGGGTCGCGGGTGGGTCGCGGGTGGGTCGCGGGTGTGTGGCGGGTGTGTCGCGGGCGGGGTCGCGGGCGGGTCGCGGGCCGGGTCGCGGGCGGGTCGCGGACGGGTCGCGGATGGGTCACGGGGTGGGTCGCGGGTGAGTCGCGGGCGGGTCGTTGGGCGGGTCGCAGGCGGGTCGCGGGTGGGTCGCGGGGTGGGTCGCGGGTGGGTCGTGGGTGGGTCGCGGGCGGGCCGCGGGTGGGTCGCGGGCCGGGTCGCGGGGGGCACGACGCCTAACAAACAAATAAAAAACAAACGAACAAACAAACAAACAAACAAACAAACAGCAACAACAACACTAACACTAACAACAACAACAACAACAACCACAACAACAACAACAACAACAACAATAACAACAACAACAACAACAACCCGCATCGCGGAATCCCACTTCAGCCACGCACCCAGGGACAAAGAATGACCGTTCGGCCCCCTCACCCTGGTATATACATTGTATATATATATATATGTATAGATATAGCTGTCTATATTTTCTCTACTTTCGAAGAGCTTGTGCTTCGTGGTTTTCCCTCTCTTTCTATATCTATGTGTCTGTCGGTGTACCTGTCTGTCTGTCTGTCTGTCTGTCTGTCTGTCTGTCTGTCTGTCTGTCTGTCTGTCTGTCTGTCTGTCTGTCTGTCTGTCTGTCTGTCTCTCTCTCTCTCTCTCTATATATATATACATATATGTCTGCTCTTCGTGCGTACTTCGTCCGTAATCGTTCCCTGGGATCCCCACCAGACAGAGAGAGAGAGAGAGAGAAAGAAAGAAAGAAAACAACAAAAGAAGAAAATAATGGACGATCGTCGGGAATGGGTTCCCACCGAATGCTTGATGTCGATGGGAGCACACTGCTCTCATTCGCCCTGCTGCAGGGTGGCCAGCCAGCCAGTCTCCTCCCTTCTCTTCCTCTTTCAGTGTCCTCCTGTTTGGTGCTTGTCAAAACAGGGCTCCCTGCGCAAGGGCGTTCCCGAGGAAGTGGAAGGGAGAGGGCGGGCAGGATTGAAAATTAACTTCGTCAGGGAAGGAGGAGGACGAGGAGGAGGAGAAGAGAGAGGAGGAGGAGGAGGAGGAGGAGGAGGAGGAGGAGGAGGAGGAGGAGGAGGAGGAGAGGAGGGAGGAGCAGGAACATCAGGAGTACAGAAACAGTTTGAGGAACAGGAGGGATGGAGGGAAGGAGAGGGAGGTGGAGGAGGATGAGGAGGAAGAGCGAGCCGGAAGAGGAGGAGGACTGAAGGACGAGGGGAGCAGGGAACAGGGAGGGAGGAAAGAGAAAGGTGTGCGAGGCGCCGTCTCCCTCCCTCCCCTCCCCCATTTTGCATTCTTCTTCCCCTTCCTCCCTTCTCCCTTTTTCCTCCTCCTCCTCGTCCTCCTCCTCCCGTTCTCCTCCTCTCCTCGTCCTCTCCTCGTCCTCCTCCTCCTCCCCCTCCTCCTCCTCCTCCCTTCTCCCTTCTTCCTCCTCGTCCCCCTCCTCCCGCTCCTCCCCCCGCCCTCTCGGAGCGAGGGAGGGAGCGATGGGGCAAAAAGGAGCGGGAAAGGCTGCCCCTCACCCCCCCCCCCCCGCCTTGATATTGGTACCCTTCCTGGGCCATCTTGGGCCAGCTTCTGAGCATCCTGGGCGATCTGGCAATCTTCGTGTACCAGGTTTGGGGCAACTTGGACAACTATTGAACTCAGCATTTCCTTTTTTAAAGTTACGGCCAGGCCCATCCCGCGACCGCGTTTGGGGTTAGGTTCGACGGTTTTGATACCTGGATCTGTCTTTTGAGATGCCTCTTGGAGGCTGCTTGGAAGCAGTTTTGAATCCTCTACTCTGGTTCTCTTGGAGCCCTCTTTGGGCCCTTGTCTACCCCTCCTGAGAGATGCCTCTGGAACTTGCCCCGTGACTCTCGAGCAATTTCCCAGATTTCCCGAAGACAGTTCAACGCAGCCCCAAGCCAGCCCGCGAGGTTTCCATGGCTACCCTGGAGTCATGAGACACCGTTCGGCCCAACTCGTTCTACTGCAGCAGGCGCCTCTTGGGGCCCCTCTTGGGGCTTTATCGGGACTCTGCGGGCCGTCTTGAGGCCCTCCTGAGCCGTCCGAGAGTCTTCTGCGGCCGTCTTGAGCCATCTTGGGCCGTCGGGGATTATCAAAGGCGACAACGGTCTCTCCTTCGTGTAATGAACGAAAATTGGAAGTTCTTGGCCTTCTCAGAGCTTCTTGGGAGCACGCAGGAGACTTTCTCGGGGCGTCGTGGAGGCCTTTTGGATTTTGCAGAGGCCGTCTTCAGCGGATCGTCTTCGGGCCCTCGAAACCTCTCTGATGTCGTCCTGGGCGTATGTTAAGGCTGCTCTGGAGGCCCTCCGGGCTGTCATCATACCTCTTGAACTCCCCAGGGAAGGGACCATCAACACGTGGAGGGCATCCTGGGGTTTAGTCGGGCGTGTCCCTCTACAGGTGGATTTTCTAATAACAATAGTCAGGGGACGACTTGTTTGTTCTTGTTGTTTTCTTGTATTGTTTACTTGTTTCGGGGTATCTTTAAATATTTTCAAATTTTGTCTCGCCCAAGGTCGGCCTGCAGGGGGGGACATGCCCGACCTAATCCTAGGGTTGGCCCGTCCGGCATGGCTGGAGGAGGAGTAGGAGTAGGAGTAGGAGTCAAGCTAGCCAGCTCGAGCGAGTCAAGCATGGCATGCCCAGTCCCACCCGCCCTCCCACAACATAAGAAGCAAAGCTGGCACAACTGGGGGCCGAAGTCACACCGGCCAGCCGGTTTGGTACAGCTGATGCGGCCGCGATGGCGGTTGCCGACGGGAACTGGCGAGCGCGTGTTGAATGCCGCGCACGCATTGCCAGACGAGTCGAGAATGGCCCGGTACACCGCAGGAAGCCTGAAGGCCCCAACTTGTACTGTTTTTTATAAAGGGGGGGTTTGGATGGGCGGGCGCGGGGTGTGCGCCGCATCCCATTCCTGCCAAGCATTTTGCGACGTGGACGACAGGACGTCCATGCTGAGAGGAAAAACGTTGGTGCGCGGCGCCGAGGCGAGAGCGACATGTCACCCCTTCGCGCGGGGTGTGCACCGCGTCCCATTCCTGCCACGCATTTTGCGACGTGACGACAGCACGACCATGTTGACAAGAAAAACAAAAACTGTGTATTGTCTTTTGCAGATTAGAATGGGACGGATTGGATGGGCGGGCGCGGGGTGTGCGCCGCGTCCCATTCCTGCCATGCATTTTGCGACGTGGACGACAGGACGTCCATGCGACGGTGCCAATGACGGCGACGACTCTAGAAGGATTTGAGCATGCGCTCGCGGCGACGCGCGCGCATGTCGCCCGCGTGGTATTTTTTTGCACAGGATTCGCGGCCTGGGTGCATGACAGAGCATCGCGAGTGCACCGCGCGATGACGTGAAATCGCTGGATTTGACCGAATTCTTAAGATTCCTATGGTTTTCCTATGATTTCAGCAAGAGAGCCCGGGCAGGAAATTTGTAGAATTTTGTGAAAAAACATTGGGTTTTTGATGTTTTTATGTTGAAATGCTTGCAAACACACGGTGTTCGGTAGGATTCTGACATGAACGCGCGCGTGTGCTCTTTGTGGTATTTTTTGCAATGGATTATCGCCGTGGACGACAGGACGTCCATGTCGAGAGGAAAAAATAAGAAAAATGTTGATTTTGTATTGTTTTTTACAGGTTAGGATGGGACCACCCGGATGCGGCCCCTATCGGCCGGCCTGAGGGGGGAGTAGGAGTATATTCTAATAA